AAAACAAACAAACAAACAAAAAACTAGATTTAGAAGCACACCAAGGCATCTGCACAGTAAAGCCTCTGAGGATGGGGAATCCCGCAAATATCAATCAAGGTAGGGGAAAGTGTCAGAGACGGCCAGTCTGCTCAAGCTGACCCCATCGTCTGCTTCTCCCTATCTCCTAGGGCACATGATGGCTGTCGTTCTCTTAAAGGCAACAGCAGACATTAAGAACAAGAGTTCAAATAACAGCACACAATCTACACTGGGACAGGAATCAATAGTACAGATCCACGAAAACAACAGAGCCCAAGAACACACTTACCAATGCTCTAATCCAGAAAGAAATATAGATAGATAGATAGCCAAGGACCAAGCTCCAACATGTAACATACAAACCAAACTGAGTACGAAGGAACAGTGGGCATCTCGGATGTGGCCTTGGCTCTAAGACTTCCTGGCTCTGTTATTTGGTCAGGTTCCATGGGTAAGCTTTTGTAAGCCCCATTGTCCTTTTCTAAGTGAGCTAAACTGTAGGATCTATGAGATACTGCTCACGTGTTATGTTCTGAGCTTTGAGACTTTAACATATTGAATTGAAATTGAAAACTTCCTTGGGAAAGCCATACAATGAAGGGCTTGGCTTGCCATTAGTATGTGAAAAATATCAACTTGGAGATGAGGACTTTCATCAGAGACCTCTACCACACACCCCCTCCCCTTCAATCTTTTGCTAGCCTTTTGGTCATCATCAGTATAAGGACATCATTTCTTGCAGGGGACATCATTTCTTGCCTCGTTTGTAGACTCCAAGATAGAGTGGCCTACAGTCACCCATCAATCGACAGCAAAGCTGACATTTCTGAATGAAGATCAGAATGAAGGAACCAGGAGAAACTTCAAAGCCTGATTTCTACATGTAATTTTCCAGTATGGAACAGCTCCGGATCTCAAGGTCATAGAGTAACTGGAAGAATGAACCCAGGACACAGGCTAGATGGACTGTCTACCCTGCCACCTCCTCACAAACCCCATGACCTAGATGGCACTGCTTAGGTTGTCCTTGGTTTCATGTGCTGCTTCCTCCAATCACAGCTCTCCAAACATGGGAATAATGCCTTAATGCTTTCTGTGGAAGCTGATAGCCATTGGCATCCCGTGGTTGGTTGAGGTTGTTTTCAAGTCAGTTCAATAGCCCATAGAATTCCTTACTTGCTACACTTACCAGCTGACAGCTATTCATTCTCTTGCTTGTGTATGTAAGCCTTCTGGAAACAATACTATCTAAAGCACAAGTGGCTTTGATGCCAACTCTAAAGCAAGTCCGCAAGCGCAATCATTCTTAAACCCAAGGAAACCAGCATAAACCAAACACTTTGGTGATGGTTTTATATGAATCTTTACCCAAAGGCCTTTAGTTATCTTAGAGATTTTTTTCTCCCGACAGCACCGTTACAACCTCCTACATAGGATCCCCAACAAACTTAGGACATCAAGTTGGACTTCCAAGGGATAGTTCCAAGGCTCCCAACCCATGTAACTATCAAGTTTCCTGGGACTTTAATTCAGGATGCGGTGCTAAAGAATGGTTGGTTAGAATGGAGGCTCAGCAGTCTTTTCAAGCATGACTGTCTCAGGTGGACTAGGAAGTAGATGATAGGCAGGTCTAGACAGGTCAGTGACCAGGCCCTGAAGTACAGATGTGCCATGCCTCGGCCTAGATAAAGATCTCCATGCTCCAGACTTCCAGCGATTCTCCTAGATCGACCTAAGATCTTGAGCTGGGTCAGGCTTTCTCCCCAAAGAACAAGGTTCAGGAGTTGGTTTGGTGCCTAACATCCAGTTACCTCTTCCCTAACTCTGCTTCCATCCAAGGACCGTGCACATATGCAGTTTCCCTGCCGTCTTCACTACATAATAACGCCACAGCAGAACCACCAGGGAACTATCCCGCATTGTAAAAAGGAAGAAAAGTAAAGTTCAAATGGAGCAAAGTTGCTTGGGGTGACAGTCCCCAGATGATGGCTACTCTGCATCCAAGAGCCAGGAGCTCACTGACACACACTACAGATTTTGCCACAGCCCGGTTCAATGACCGGTGTTGACATTCCATAACCCTCAGGAACAACTTGCTGGCCCAGCCTAGCACTGCGGTCTTCCACACACTTCCCGCATCCCTATCCCCTATTTCTCTTCTTGACCTAAGGGCTCCTCACGTCCTCCGTTTCTTGCTCCCAGCCAAGCAGCCCAGATTCCCTCTTCCCGCCTCCACGTGCAGACAGACCCTCATGCCCATTTCCAGTTCCTAGGAGGCTGCTGCCAGGGAAGCAGGCGTCCGGAGACGACAGCAGTAGCCCCAGGGAACCTCCCCCTCTAGCTGTGCCAGAAAGCAAAAAGGAAAACATACTCGCAGCTTATTTTTACTTTAATAATATTTTTGTGTAATTATCAAGGACTCTCAAAGCCTCTTGCCCCTCCTGTGTGGCAGCAATAATAAACACACCCATTTTATAAGGGAGACAGGGGAAGTGTGGCCTAGCACGCAGGAGGGAACATGACTCATGCCCAGCAAGAACTGAGTCAGATGAAATGACCCAGGCCTCCTGACACCAGAGCTGGGGGCCCATTCACAAGGCCGGGCATCCTGCCTACTGTTACTTCCAAACATTTCATGTGGTCCTCGGCTTCGTGCTCCTTGTCCTAGCTCACTTCTGATTAAGTGTCTGCCATGATGCAAACAGGCCTTAGTCTTTCCTGAGTTCTAGCAGAACCTGTAATGTTTATATATTTTACTAGGAGCCTTAGGCATCCCCAAAGGTGGGCTTCTTAAGCAACCTTGCCATGAAAATTCAGAAGAGTGGCCCTGTCTGAAAATATAGGGCAAGGCCAAACATCCAGCTGAGGTTGGAAGTGGGAACCTCATCCCAGAAACCGGGTGATGCTCTTCTCTAGTGGCTGATTCGATTCCCTCTCTCTAATACCTGGTGACAGTTTTGCTCTGTAGGGGCAGAGACACATAAGAGGAGCTATGGTGAGCTACTTCTTGTGTGATCAGAGCAGTTTGAAATCCTGGGAAGACCTGTCCGAAGAAAGTGGTCATGGGTCTTCCTGCAGGCCATCCCTAGGGAAGAAGAAAAGGAATAAAGGAGAGCCTGTCTCCAGAAGGCTAGTAAACAGGGTAGGGGTAGGGATGGCAGCCCCAGGACACCCTTTAAGGCAATCCACCACTTTTAGCAATCCAGATACTTGTATAGAGGCCTTCAGTAGAGTCGCTATATAATATATAGCCCAAACCAGGCATTTTAACTAGTAGAAGAAGCTACTCATGATTTATTTTAAGATGATACGTCGTTATATGAGGATAGAAGGCATAAGCAAAGAAGGCAAATCAGGACAGGCATTGGACGGACGGCCTTCGCCATCAGTGTTGAGGGTGACAAGGAATGACTTCTACCCAGGGAGCAACAACACCATGTGAAACACAGGCACAAAGGTCACAGAGAGACATAACCCAAGCCTTCCTGGCTATCCGGGGACATTAGAAGGGAAAAAATCTTTAGGAAGAACTGAAAATTAAAGTGAGATAGAGGTGTGGGTACCTGAGCTGGGATTTGAGGGCTAGAGGGGATTTGAACTTGAGGTAATAAGAAATCAAACGGAGCCCATAGAGGGCAGAGACTATCAGGAGGCTCGGGTCCTCTGTAGGATATGGAGGGAAAGGCAGAGTCAATTTGATGTGACTGCAGTAGGCCAGGGCAAAAATGACAAGAAGGAGGCCCAGGGCCAAGTTGGTTTTGGTTCTAATTACCAGACACTGACGTGGACAAATGGTCCTCCGTTTCTAAGCATAGTTGACCAAACCAATGTTTGCTTTGTGACCAGCCACCGCTGGTTTCCCCAGGCCAGTGGTCCTCGCCCTCAGTAAGGGAGTCTCATCTGAGGAAGAGGCCACCACTCTGGTCACTCCCAAGCACTTTCTCTCGCCAACCACTGGAGAAGCAGGTTTGGACTTTCATAGGAAGTACCATTTTGGCAGTCCAACAAGCCCAGACAACTAAAGGGGGTGGCTTTTAGGGGCTCTCTTTTACATATTTCACCTTGGAAGCATCCTTGTGAGACCTCTCTGCTTGCTTCCCAGAACCCTCAGCCTCCCTTTAGACCTTTGGGGCTTTCAGAGACCTGAAGGGTCACGGGATCACAGAGGGGCTTTCTCCTTTGGTCCTTAAGACCTCACTGTTGGTGAGGTAGGTTAGGAGAGAGTAAACAGGAATTGAAGAGCAGAGAAATGATTGACAGCCGTGACAAGCACGTATCAACCAGACCCCGTATATGGAACACAATAAACTTTCCCTCCAGCTTTCTGAAAGGACAGAGGGAAAGAGGGGAAGGGGAGGAGTAGCAGTAGGGACTGGGAGGAGTAGAAGAGTGGGGGGGGGGGCTTCACCAGAAGAACTTTCTTCTTCATCCCACCTCCAGCCTTACCCCCTCTCTTATTATTTCCTCCCAGCCCAGGAAAATGGGTCTGAGGCTGTGCGGTAGGGAAGGGCAGCGGGTGACATCTCCACAGACGCTGTAGCTTGGCCCTGCAGGGTTCCTGGGCCTTTAAAGGGCCACTTATAAACTCCTGGTGCCAAGCAGAGGCAGCGGGAGGAGCTGGGGCCCGGACAGAGGGGGGAGACTGGTCTGCCTTCAGTGCCTAGAAATCAAAGCAGCCAATCTTGGGCTTTTTCTTCCCTTCACACTGAGGCACTTTTATTGGCGAGATGAAGGGAGGCAGAGAGGGCCTACAGCCCTCGCTTCGCTTTTGGAGGTTAATGACCCAGTTAGCAGCTCTTGGCTGAGTTTCCGACATTTTGCAGACATCAAGCCCCGCGCCTCTGCCAAGTACATTCTGTTCCCTGGAGCCCGTCCAATGCATCTCAGATTACTATGTAATGCGACAAAGAGGGAGAGGTGGCTGGGAGGGGCCCGGAGAGCTGGGCGGGGTGAGAGGGCGGTAGCCGGGAGGGCAGGACGCTGAAGCCGGCTGGCTGGTAAGGGGGATGCCACACTAAATAGAGCAGCTTCCCGGGAGTCGCATCCCTCGAGGGGCTTCTTAGCAGGAGATTGAGCCCGATGAGGGTGGATAGGCCTTGTCCTCCAGGAATCCGGCCCCGTGGAGCCCGGCAAACTCCAGGATGCCGCTGGGGGTGGGGTGCAGGAGACGGGGCGGGACGGCCCGAGGTGGCATCCAAGGGGCGGGCTTAGGGGCTCGGCTCCGCCCTCGAGGCTGCCCCACTCCCACCCCTGCAGCTCCAGGGGTGAGCAGCCTGCGCGCTAATTATAGACCTGAATGGAAAGCGGCGCTTTTGAATGATCTTGTGGCTCCCACTGCCTTTCGAGGTTGAGGAGCAGGTGCGGCCCTGCTAGATACAAAGTGATTCATTTAAAAGCCCTCTGTCACGCACGCTCGCTTACTGACACACAGGAATCCTTGTGCGCTCCACCACCCAGAGGATTCCAGAACTGGCTTAAAAGGATTTGAGCCCAGGAATGCAGGACAGAGACCAAGAGACTTCTCATAGATCCTCATCACTCTTTGGTAATCTCACCGAGTAGATGAGAGAGTCCTAGGCCTTCTCAAAATCTTTAAAAGGAGGGTCTTGTTTTACATTCACAGCTGGGGCAATGGAGGCAGGGACGTGCCTGTGGGAGAGCCAGGGAGTCAGAGTGAGGCTAAAGGGAAGTTTGAGGTCCTGCCAACCCCTTTCTCTGTCTGACCAGATTGGAGCCTTAAGTCTCCAGATCCGAACCTCTCTCAAGGCACGTAAGAATACCTTTTCTCCCCAGGTGTGGCACCTACCTGTTGTACCCCCTAGACCCAGTCCCACCAGTAATCCAGCTGAAGCCAGCAGGCAGTTAACCGATCTGGGAACAGGCTGCGCTGGAAACTGCCCATTTCCCGGTGTGTTATGTGTGAATTAATCCCGATAGGGCTCTGTCAGTACAAACCCAGATGAGGAACTACAGAGGGGGCAAAACACAGACTTTCTTCCGTGTCAGCATCTTCCGCCCACCTCGGGTTCATAGCCACAGTTAGCCAAGACTTTTCATGGCTGGATGACCTACTCCAGGCTGCATAAGCACTATCTAGCCTTGTTCCCATTTGATGGAGTCCTAGCAGAAATGGAGTCCTGCGGGGAGGAACTGGCTGGCTCACCATCATCTGACGATGAGTGTCTGTGGAGAGAGGCCAAAACAGGCCTGACTGGATCCTGAGATGAAGTCAATACATTTCTTCCTTAGGTCAAATTGTAAAGCCCACTCAGTCGCAGAGAAAGATTGCTGTAAGCAACCTGGGTATTTGCCCCCAGCCTCCCCTCTAGGTCTCCCACATCCCCATCTCCCATTCTTGTCCACGTTGGGCTGAGAGAGATGTTGTTTTCTCTAGGTAAAAGCTTCTAAACTCAGTCAGTGTGTCTGACTTTCAATAAAAAGTGAGTCCATCTCATCACCTGTACCGACCAGTGCCACCTCCCCTTTGCTGACCGTCTTGGACCTAACCTCCTTTCCACTGGCCACTCCAGGACTTCCATCAATGTCAACGGATCAAAAGGCAACATGGAGTCGCATATGGAAAGAAACAGAAATTGGGGGTAGAGATTATTGCAATTGCTGCTCACTTGCTGCTTACAAGTTCTATATCTCGGGCGTTGTAAGTTCCTATTCTCCCCAAAATCCACTCGGTTTCGTCCAATCCTTTGAACACAGCAAATGAAGAACTGCAATAATAAAAATCTCACATGGCCGTGCAATACTGTATGTGTCTGAACTGGCAGTTGTCGCGTTTCTCTGAGAACAGGCAAATGTGAGCATTCTTGTACCAGCGCAGGTGCCGCTCTGATCTGCAGTACGCACTGTTCAATCTGTCCAGGTCTCGGCTTTGTTCTCTGTGAAAATGGACATAGCATGGCTTATTGAGGCTGTGCTTCAGGGCTGACTCAGGAAGGAACACAGGGCTCCGAGAGTCTCTTCAATCGGAGTACCCAATTGAGAGTCTGAATTCTATTTTTTTGCTTTGGACCCACTTTAAAGGTTTTGTGTGTCTCAATTCCATAAAGTCCAAGAGGATAACAATAGTACCCACTTTGTAACTATGTGCATGAAATGAGTTTAAATGCACAGGGCTGAAAGATATGCCTGGCACATAGTGTTCAGTAAGATGAGATGAAACGTATGTATAGGGACTTCCAAGAATAATGCCTATCACAGAAACCATGCTCACGAAATAGCCTCTGTGTGTTTTTCCTCGTTTTTAGAATGGAATTCCCCTACGATTAAATTTGAATATTGTATATGAAAAACATGTGGGGCTCTGTAAGACGGCTCACAAGCTACAATATTAACTTAGCAGCTAGTGCACTGATTTAGCAAATATTATGTATTAACCATGTGTGATCAAACTTGATGTGTAGAGGTAAACATTCAAGGGAACAATAAGCAAGTGTGGACCTGCTATAAATACACAAATATCTGATAACAGGGAAACCTGGTGCTCGATTTGACTAACACAAACCGCCAAGTGTCATAATGCATCCAGAAGCAAGAAGCCTATAGGTGGGATGAGGATTCAGGAGTAAATGCAGTCATGGTAGAAAGAACACAGTGCTTCCTGGGGGAATTATTGTGATCTAGGGGACTGAAGAGATGGCTCAGTGGTTAAGAGCACTGCCTGCGCTTCCAAAGGTCCCACCTTCAATTCCCAGCAACCACATGGTGGCTCACAACCATCTGTAATGAGATCTGGTGCCCTCTTGAGGAAGAGAGCTGATCAGTCAGCCTCATCAACTTAGACCATGAAACCCAATATGGACAAGTTTAACAGAACCGCCATACATGGGCTGTCCATGCCTGCAGCAGCATTGCCAGGGCATAAATTTTTATTTTAATTTTTAGACACTTAGAGATGACAATAATCCCCAGTTTTACAAATGAAAAGTTGAACCCTCCTAGGAATGGGAAGAGCACATTCACCACACTGCGTGATCGCCAGTGTTCAGAGAACACAACCCAATCAAAGAAGGGGCCAAATAAAGATAGCAGACTAAAGAGGAGAAACCGAGAGGCTGAGTGCTCCAAAGAGACCAGGGATAACCAGGAGGGTCCCAGAGGTCTTCCCTATAGTCTTCTGTATGCCTCTGTTTCTCATCTATGAAAATTTTGGAATAAAAAAGTTAGGCATGTTTGTGCATGCTTGCAATCCCAGCGTTCGGGAGGTGAAGGGAGGAGGATGGGGAGCCTGAGGTCATCTATTACTTTTATAGAAAGTTTGAGGCAAATCTGAACCTCAAGAACAGAAATGAACAAAATAAAATGTACTTAGCACAACACTTGACACATAGTAGGTGCTATATGAACGTTCACATATTATTTCGTAGAAGACATTTTGAATGTGGTGTGTGCTATTTTAGATCACACCGTGTAGATTATATAACTTCAGAATGTTATATATTGTCAATCGTCTTCACTATACTTCTCTGCCCCACCCTTTTAGTCCCAGATGTCTTTGACATGCGTTCTTCTCTCAGAGCACTGGCTTCCGACCTAGAGAATCTGAGCAGAATAGGTAAGGCAGTATGGAGACCGACTCTCTCCTTTAGTGTGGGAATGCTGAACGAAACAGTTCAGACCCAACAAGAACAGCTCCAAGGGCTCACAGATCCAGTCCAGAGCCTGGTAGGCTGTCCCAGCCAGGGATCAGGGCACGTGAGCTGGCATTGGAAATATCCAAGATTGGAAGCTCATGCAGTGCTGAATCATCAGAGCAGGGTCCACCCTCTTTCTAGCAAAGACAGACCAGACTTTAGCTAGGAGGATAATACTGGGAAGGCAGATCATCAGGAAAGGAACATAAAAACCAGGCTTAGAGCAAAATTCAGGTAGAAAGGAACAGAGATTATAACAAATTTAGGGGTTCAGAAGAGGATAGACGTGTCTTATTCGCCTCTGATTACAAAAGCCAATAAGCAGCATGAAAAAACTTGCTTATGGATACAGTAGGTTGGGGGAAAAAGTACAAAATCATTCATGAGGATGATGTCACCATATTCAGGGGAGCTATCTCCTGTGTAGACAGGGCGAGGTGCAAAGGAGAGGACGAGGACATGGAAAGTGGGGGCTGTAACTATGTGTGTTATGTTTGATTTCCTTTAGGAAAATGGAGATCTGAGGCAAATAAGAAAAACTGTGAGCATCTGCTCTTCCTGATGATAAATACATGGCATCTGTTATAGCCTTTCTGTATGATTACTATTTAATAATTTAAAATAAAGGCATAAAAGTAGTAAATATTTAAAATCTAATACATTTTATTAATATCTGTCACTGTAGAAAAATCTGGGGATTTTATGAATAAAAACATAGGGAGATAGTGTCTTTTAAGTGCTCCAGTGTTGGCTACCTTGCATGGTATTTCCAAGCATGGGAACTGGTCTGGTTCCAATAGGACCTTGGCAGAGGGTTTGTATGGTGATGCCCACACATATGTGGAAGGAGAACTTCTGGATTCCTTCGGTCATTTGGCCACGCATCCCTAACTGACCTTTCTGGCCAGAAAGTCCCATCCCATTTCGATTTAGGAATTGGGATCTTGCACTCATACATTCTTACACACACATGGGGGTGGGGAGGGGGGGAATTTGCTAACAAAGTTTAACGCTACAAATTCTACACAATAAAATTTATGGATTAAAATTGATGGATTTCATTTGGACCAACAAAGCTCAACCAGCATCATCAACCAGGGCACCTAGCGGCCTTTATGCAAACTACCCAGCAGCAACAGCACCCATCCTTTCCAAGTGTGCCTGGCACATTCACGAGGAGAAACTGTCCTGAGGCCCCACAGTTGTGTCTCCCTTGAAGCGGAGCTCTTCAGGTCCTCACTCAAACACAAGTTTCTTTTTATAGAAAAGTTTGGAGACATCTTGCCTCAGACTTCAACACGACAAGAAAGAAGGCTGAATTGCGATATGATAACAGAAACCCATCAATATGGCTAATGGCCAACCCATTTGACAGGAGGCAGAAGCATAAACATGAGGGCCTGAGCAGAGCATTCTGGGACCGTGTAGTTATGGGGGAAACAATATCAAGTCCAGAAAGGCCTTGAGGAATCGTGCATTCTATGCTAGACAGCTTCATAGAGAGAGACTTCAGAGGCTTCAGCCGAGGAGGGTTCTGCCTGCTACTTACCCACAAGAGGCTGTGCGTGAGGCTGTTTCACTTCCCCTTCCTGGAGACTGACTTCCTCTTGGGCAAAACTGAGTCACTAGGATCTAGTAACTAGATCTCCAAGATAATCTCCATTTCCACCTTCCTGTTACTATTTTGGTGTTCCTTCTAATTGCCCGGGCCTTCAAACAAAGGTTACCAGACATCAGAGGCCTACAGAGACTGAACTGTTTCCCCCCCACAGTCCCTGGGTATGTTCAGACATACCCCTAAGGGTTTCACGAGGACATATTTACAAACAGCTTCCAACAGGCAACAAACTGACAGAATAAACCATGCAAGAGAAATCCTCTATAGCAGACAATTTAATTCGGAACAATAGACCACATGAGGGGGTATAAATAACTAATTATACCACACAACATGAACAGTTCTTTTGGACGATTGCAAAATTGGGGAGGAAGGAAATGCAATGGTATTTATATATTTGGGCTTTAGTCAAAGATTTCGTCTTCACTCTTAGGCAATTTTACATACAAAATTAGCTCAGACTGGAACATGGTCACACAGCTCAAAACTGGCAGCAGTCTGGTAGCCTGGGGGACAGCTTGGGTCCAAGCATCAGGGGAATAGAATAGAAGGTTGACCATGTTTTCCTGGAGTTCCTATGGGATGCTCTGGGGGTGGTTCCTTGGTCCCTGCAGTGACCTACAGAGAAGACAGCAGTAGAAATACAACATATTCCAGGATGAAGTCCAGCTTTGTTTGATATACACTCTGGCATACTCAATCCCACCCTTTTGCCTGGGTTTCTACTGCTGTCCATGGCTAAGCCAACTCTTACAGATGCAGAAACTGGGGTGTTCGTGTGTCATTGCATGCCCAGTGCCTGCTTCTAAAATCCACTGTTGCGCTGATTAATAAAATGAATAAATTATGGTCTTTACCCAGGCACGATTCCTGGGCCTAAAGGATAGCAGTTTACCACAAAGGACGCCTTATACATACCTTTACTGAGATACAAGGCTCTTTAAACACAGAGAATAGAGAAGTTCATTTTAACCCTGGGGACTGTCAAGGGCCTTTACTTCCCACATGCCTTTGCATACCCATTTTCTCTTGCCTGGTTGCTCCTTAAATCCTAGGCATAACAGAGACAGGAAAGAGAGCTATGAAGACAGATGTTCTCTCATAGTCTCTTGCAGTAGCAATTTTTAAACAAATGAATATAAATAT